TATTTTCAATTAAATTATAAAATTATAAAATAATATAATATATTATAAGTCAAAATTTTAAATATATTTCATAAAACATATTTTTTTAAAAAAATTATTTAGATTTTGATCACGTTGTAAATATTTTAAGTTACTTAAATTGTGTAAAAATATTAAATAAATCATTAATAAACATTAATATTAGAAGATAAATTAGAGATTTAGCATCATGATTAGTAGACTAGTAAACAATATTTATCCAAATATGGTTTTGAATTAAAAAAAATTTCACGAATTTTTAGAGTATTTTCTTAACGGTATTAATAGTTTGGACTAAAATATATACTTTCAAAATAAAGAGAATGTCTTTGTAATTCAAGTAAAAGATAAGGATTGTCAAAGTATTTTAGTCTATAAAGGAATACATCAAAATATATTGTCATGGCTTCAACGTGAAATAAAGCCATCTGGGATATACTGATGTGTACGTAGAACTACAAACACTAGCCCAAATCATCTGAAACATTTTCTTTTTCTTACTTATGTCACATCTTGTAAAAATTAACCCTGGTATTAGATATGAAAAAAATTAAGTTGAGGGCCAATATGGAAGGTAGACTGGTTGACAAAGCCAAGCATATCATAAAATCAGGATAGGGTTTGGATTGATATTTTTGGAATTATCGGTCCAAGAAGGGCAAAATGAGAAAATTAAAGAAAAATTTCAGAAAATTTCCAAAAAAATGGTAAAAAAAGATAAATTAAAGGTTTTGGAACCTCAATGGAGACCCTAAAGGTGAAAAAGGTGTGAAAATAGCTATTTATAGAATTTCCTGAAAACAGAGATTTTTCGGAAAAAATAGTAAAAATTGGAGAAAATAATTATTTTAAATACTTAGAGGCCCCAATAATTCTTTAAAAAATGAAATAATTATCTAAATATTTATTGTAATTTATAAAATTAGTTTCAGGCCCTTAAAGTATAGGAATTAATTTTAGAGAATTTATTCCCAAAAGTCTTATGGATAAATCCCTATTTGGGAAAAATTCAAAATAAATAGTTAGAGGTGGAGAAAATTCTAGAAATTTTCATATGCTATTCTTATATTAAAATAATATTTTTATGGAAACAAATGCAATTTTGGCGGCCTAAAAAAATTATGAAAAGTTACAAGTGAATAGTAACCGATAAGCTTCAATATTGGTTGGAATTAATATGTTATTATTGAGCTAAATTCTTGAGACTCTCCAGATCAAAATTGGGCCCCACATTGGCCCAAGAAAGGCCCAAAAATTCATGCAAACTTGGCCCAATAATTAAAATGGATTTAAGCCCAATTTTCACATAAAAATCAATGGAATATTCTTGGAATATGGACACATGGCATGATCTGAAAAATTGGAGGGTTTGATGGCAGCTACATGGCTATTTTTTCTGGCCAAATTTTGCCATTCATGAGGTGAGAAAGCTAGATTTCTTGCTCTATAAATACCCCCTAATTACACAAAAATAGCCAAAAATTGACAAAAGAGGGGAGGTGCTGCCAAACTGATTTCTTGAGCTTAAAATTGAGTCCTAATTAGTGCATTTGAAAGAGGAATTACCAAGTTTTAGTCAAAGATTCATCAAAGTATGTTTAAGCTTTATTATAGTTAAGATTAAAGCTTGTTTTGGTTGGAAATTTGAGCTATAATCTAAGGCTAAGTTGCTGCCATATTTTTGGTTTAAATGAGTATGCTTTAGGGGAGGATAGAAGCCTTAAAAATAAGTTAGAATTATCATGTTTAAGTGATGTTTGGATTGAATTTTGGAAGAAATCAAAGTTAGGGTCCTATGGCATACAATTCAGCCACTATGGTTTCTTGAGGTAGGAGTTTGTTTTGCTATAATTTGATTATTCCAATGAGTTTAAAAGGTATTTTTGTGTAAGAAAACACCAAAAGAAAGTGTTTAAAATCATTGAAATCAAAAATGAAAATTTTGGAACATAATACCCCCTATTTGGCCAAGTCAAATTGAAAGGGAAAGAGTGTGATTTTATAAAATCTGATTTGATATTTAGATTTTACATAAAAAAAAATTATGTAGGAATGAATCAAGAGATTGATGAAAACAAAGAGAAATTAATTATGTCAAAAATCAAGAAAAAGATGTTTAACTGAGCTTAATGTCAAGCAATTATTTTTATGCTTGAATTATTGATAATTTGGAATGTGTTTATACATGAATTGATAGGTATTATGCAAGAGAACAAGGAAGAACCCAAAGGAATTGAAGAGGCCGAAATTCTTGGACTAAAAAGAGGTGGCATGGAATTCACAATTTATAATGTTAACTTGCTTGGTTGTTGCATAATATGATTGCATGAATAATTGCTATGTTATGTTTGAGATTATTTGATGGGATTGATATGTTAGTTAATTACATTTTCTACCTTGGCAACATGTATTAACATGTTATTTATTGGTGAATTGTTATGATATCTGTATGGCATAGAATACTCATGAATATATATATATAATATACCTTGCATGTTTGACATTATAATTGTAACTCCTGCTACTGAGATTTCTATGAAATCTCATTTTTCTATATTCAAATATTTACCAATTAGGGCCTATTTGGTTTAAGGGTGGGGGAGGGGAGGGGAGGGGAGGGGAGGTTTTATCCTCACCTTGTTTGGTTTGATTAAAAAGGAGGGGAGGGGAGGAGAGGTTTTATCCTCACCTTGTTTGGTTTGATTAAAAAGGAAAGGAGGAGAGGATATTTAATGATCTCTTGTTTGGCTCAAGGAGGGGAAGGATAGTAATAATCAGTTTACTATTTTACCCTTACATATTAGTTTATATTTTTTATTGATATATTATACAAATTAATTTACATCTTAATCTAAATTATATAATTTAATAAAAATTTAGTCTTATCATGTTAATATGTGCATTAAAAAATTTGTACAATAATTTTTTATTCTAATTAATATAATAATATATTTAAAATAATCAAATTAACAAATTTTATATGCTCTAAGAAAAATGAAATTTTATTCTGTTTAGGCTATCTTTTTTTCAGCTTTAAAATATAATAAATAATATATTATAAAAAACAATTAATTTTATAATATTATAATTTTTTATTTTTAACTAATTTTTTATAATATATTTTTTAATTATAATAATTTATATTTTTTATTTTTTACTTAGGATAATATATTTTTTATTTGAAATAAATATCATGATAATATATATATTTTATGGGTAGTAGTTAAATATTAAAAAAACCATAAGGGTATAATGGTCCAAAAATTTAGCTCCCCTCCAAAAACCCCCAATTTGAAGGGGAGCTAAAATGGGGGGAGGGAGGGAAGGGGAGGGGATATTTTGGTTTCCCTCTCCTCCAACACTTTTAACCAAATGAGAGGAGGGGCTTATTTTCCCTCCCCTCCCCTCCAACCAAACAAACCCTTAGGGGTTGGATCAAGCAAGGAGAAAGGAAAGGGATTCACTTGGAGAATGATGGAGTTGAATGTTTCTTGAAAATTTTGTAATTATTATACATTGTTATGTATTATTGGAACTTTGTATTCATGATTGATGATACCTTACACATAAGCACTTGATCAAGTAATCATATTTAAGTATGTGAAATGTGATTGGAAAGGTTATATGAAGGGAACGGAAAAGAGAAACCGGGAATCTCACGAAGAAAGGATAAAAATTGACTTTTTAAGAGTCAAGAGAGCAATTGGATGAGTCTTGAGCTAAAATTTGCCATACTTATAAATCTCATTTTTAGCTTTAAAATAAGTGGTAATTCACTAAATTTTGAGTTTTATACAAAAAGTTATGCCCCTCCAAAGTTGGGCATTAATTCTTAAAAATTGAAAAATAACCAAATAAACAGTACCACTTTAAACAAAATCTAAGATTGATGCTTGAGTTCTGGATACCAATGAGTATTTTTTTTTCCTTTAAAGAGCATGTCAAGAGCTTTCCATAGAATCTGAAACCATCTCATTTCAATTTTTTTTTGAATTAGTTATGAATTTTCAAAGTTTAGTCTTTCTAAGGGTTGCAATGAATAGTAACCGAATTTAAAGAAATTTGAAGTTCAAATTTTTCCAATCTAAAGCTATAGGAAATAAGTACAAATGGTTCCAAATGAGATAAAATGAGATACACGAATCACACAGCCAGGTAAAACTTCTTTTCTCTACTTGGACGAAGAAATCCTGGAATCTAAAGGACAAAGAAGACGAAGGCGGCTTGAAGCAACTATAAAAGGTGGTTTTCTGCACTTTCCATTCGTTGTCCTCTGCGCTTACGTTCGTTTATCCAGGCGGCGGCTTTGTAACATCGTAGTCGTTTGAAGAAATCATGATATACCAAATGGGGGCATTGTACCGTCGAAAACATTAAGTACGTCGCTTTGACGGTTGAAAATTGGGTTACAACAACTAAAATTACAGGGATAAAACCAAACGCATCAATTCTAAATTTTGTTGCCTATGCCACCATATATATACTTGAACATCTCAGGAGGTGGGGAGAGATGGTATTAACTAATGTAGGCCATTCCTCCCCACTTTTTCTCATATATTTTCACAGAAGTTCGTAGAATCCTCCCCACTTTTTCTTATGTATTTTCACGGAAGTTCTTAGAATCTGATCATCTTCGAAGAACTAGGCGTACGCCACAAAATATTTAGATCCTTCTAGCTTATCGAGTATCACTATTAGTTGGCAAGAATGTTAGTGCACCATTATCAACATAGATTTAATGATGCATTACTCAATTCACATCACGTGATACTTAAATTATTCATTTGCTTTGAGCTTTCATGGGGGTTTTTTTTTTTTTTTTTGGTCAGAAGCTTTCATGGGGGTTAACCTGCGTCGTTAAGCTTGGCAAGGAAAAAGAAAAAAACAAGAAAAAAGAGAAAAAGGGCTCTCACGAAGCAGAAGAATCAGCCCCCGCCCTCGTGTTGGGCGAATCAGGCTTGGTGAGATCAACCCAAAACCAACTTTGGTTCTTCCTATCTAAATCACCATCACTCTGTTAGCGCACGGGGTGAGAGGAAAGATTCGCTCAAAGTCAATTAGAAAAAAATAAAAATCCGGCCTTTACAGTAAAGTTCTTTGTTTTCTTTCTTTCTTTTTTTTCCCCTTTTCCTTTTCACCCCGCTTTTTACTAATTCTTTAAGCTGAAGAGGAGGAAAAACCCAAGTTAGAAATTTACATCATCTTCTACAAATGTAAACAAAAACCTCAACACCCAAGTCTTCAAATTTTCCGTTCCTTTGCCTTCGGCTTCAAAAACGCCCTTCATGATTCTCGTGTAAATCCTTTCAAGCTGTGGAATGCTGTAATTTTCACTACGCTTCACAAAAAGCTGCTTCAAAGACTCCACTTGGCTTGAAAACTCACCATCAGACATTATGACATCTAGGCTATTGTCATCCCCTTCTCCACATGTACTTGCTCCATGTACATTTTCATCAACTGACGCGGGTTCAGGCCCTTCACAAGCAACTTCACTGGCTTGCTGTTCTGGTAAAGTCTTTGGCGGCAGAGGATCTTGTCGAGACTTCTCATCTGCCAGTGAAACCCAATTTAAGAACTCGTTTTCATCACTATATCTGAGGTATATAGCAAAATAGAAAAAATTCAAAGAATTCACCGAAAAGCAAGCCATGAAACGAAACATGTCTCCAATGCTGTGAAATAAGCATAGCCATGCATCCCCAAAAAAAAAAAAAAAAAGGGGGCCAGTGTTCAAATATGGATCAGGCGTTAGCACCTGCATGTGTACCATCAGTGCTCCTTTTTGTCCGCTTCAATGCCTCATAGCTTTGATCCATATTAACCTCAGGTTGCACATTACGAAGTCGAGCACTCATTCTAGTAGTGGTTCCCAGCTGAACAACAGGAGTGGATGGGAATGTGGAACCCCTGAATTCATCAGGCAAATTAACTGGGCCACCTTGGGCAGCAATCTTGTCACAATAAGCAACCAGCGCTGGATCCATCTGGGAGAGCATTCCATGCACCTAAAAAGTACGAGGCAAGAGGAGAGATAAGGGACGCTTTCCAGGCACCAATGAGCATGAAAACTTCAATATGAAATTGAACACAAAACAGTCCACATACTGCATCACGGAGCTCACAAGCTCTACTGACAATCCTTGAACCATTGTAGTCCTCTCCATTATAAGCCTGGGTTGGGGACAATAAAATGGATCAAGCTAGCGAGACTTGCTTAGCACATTATAAGCAAATGGACATTCCACCACTTGAAAGCAACACTAATAGCACTTAATTACAAAATCACACAATGCATTTTCACTACAGTTAAAAAGTAGGTATTATTTGGACCCTAAGGCATAGGACACACCTTAGCATTGGAAACAATAAGATCAATGTCCTGTAAGAATGCCGAACATGTGATATAGTGGCCATTATCAACATGCTGCAGTATGGTAGCCATGTCCATCGGGTTCTGAATTACTGACCGATAGTTAGGTGCATCTTCATCTGATACCGGATAATGGAAGGCAACAAATCGTTTGTCATATAATATCCTGTAATATAGAAATAAAAATACGATGAGAGAATAAAACAGATCCATCCATTTAGTTATAAAGAGTTCACCATGCCAAAATGCCTATCTGAATCAGTACTAGGAGAATATTTATTTCTTAAATTATTTGATAATAAAAATTCTCTTGGCTTGTTAGCCATCTTGCTCCCTCTGCTTTCCTTCCCTCCTCTTCTTATTTCTTCTGTATCCTACCTTTCCCTGTATACTGACTCTGGTCCTAACTCAACATATTAGCAAGGAATTATCATTTCGATCAACATAAACCATTCAAAATCATAAATTTATCTCCCTACTAAGAGATTCAAAGGGAAACAAAGCTAATAACCAAAAAGATTTAAGCCTACTGCATTACAGTTTCCACTTAATATAATAGACATAAACAAACTACTTGTTGACATACCGGTTGCAAACATCTCTAAGGCACATTCGCAATCTGCGAAGGGCATGCTGCTCAGCTTCAACTGTTGCTCTGAGCTCAGATACCTTCGGACCACCTGCTAATTTTGGTGCTTTGGGAAGTTCAGGAAGGGAATCTATTTCTTGGGATTTTTTGCTCGTTCTCTCCAATGAGACTGATAAAGCAACATCGATCAAACAATTGAAAAATGATGTTCTGTCTTCAGCAGATGGCATGTTCATGTTATAGCTGTCCAAAGAAGAAAAAGAACAAAGGAAATAAATGACCAAAAATTAAAGCGGAGGCAAGAAGAATAATTTTAATACTTCAAATTAGCCCATTAAAATTCTTATGAAAAGCCAGCTTTAGGTTTTTCAATAATAAAATTAAAATATTAATCAAACTAGTTAAATATACAATTTTTTAATATAAAAATGCATTCAAAGTATAAGCATTCGCAATGCTAAATGCTTCACCCCACTTGGTGATATATAACACAAGAAGCTGATGATCGTACCAGAGAATACAAAAGTAATGTGAATGGGACGAATATTTCTAACCTATAATTCTATCGAAAAATAGTGATGGAATAGCCGCCAGGGAACTTTTCAACAAATGCTTCATTTATATTAAAAATGTTAGATTTCATACCCCCACGTCTTATCTACTAAATCACTGGTCAATTACAACAAATACCCAAAGAGAAAAAGCAGCATTTCCAGTTCATGAGTTCCACTGTTAATTTGCACCATACAACAGTAAGAACACAGCCCATTCAAGACAAATTTACTGCATAAGGCCAAAGGTGTTCATGTAGAGAATTTTAAGAAGAAAAAATATCTTGGCATTGAAATCAAGTATTTTTTCTAAATTAGATTAAACATACACTGAACGGTAAGGAAACAATGAAGGAGGCACTTCATCAACTTCTTCATACGGCACTGATGATGTTCCAAGTAATAAAATAGGGATGTCGGAAGGCAGTTCTTCTAGCAAAGTCAGGATAACAGCCCTGAGCTGTTCGTGTGCCTGCATTATTATTAAATTAATCAAGGTCAAGCAGCATTAAAGTCACAGGACCATTGATAAAGGACAAATGTTTGGTACAACTTCTTTCATTTGCTATAAGGTTCTCCAACACAAAGGTGACCAGTTGAAGTTCTTTTTACGACTCAGCTCCACATGAATTGGTCTTTCAAAAATTATCTTTCCCATGTTATGGTTTAGCCGGGGGGCCTTATAGCAAACATCTAAAAAACTTTTACTTAGTATATTTGAAAAACCTGCCAGAATAAAAGAAAATTTAGGCAAAGAGATTCAGTTAATTTAATTAACATGCATTTCAAACATAACTAAAATCTGTACTCACAGTTTCCCACCAAACATTGAACTGTGGTAAATAGAGAATAGATGGGGTTGTTCTTCTAGCTTCACCAAATATATGAACTAGAGCCTCCTCTGGCGTCTTAGCACTAGGATCCGATAGGAGAGATGGAAGTCCTAACGAATGAACAGGAAATTTTTCCAGTTCATGCAAAACTGCAGGCCCAAGATGGTCCTGTTAAACTAGAGTAGTAAGTATATTCAGTTTTCAGTTGTTGTCCTCTCAAAGATTTCATAATAAAATAAGGTTTCAAAATATTTACCAGCCCGGTACCTTCACCACCACAAAGTAGAAGCCTGGGCCGATAGACAAGTGGAATTGCAGAACCATAGGAAAGCATAGAGAGTTTGGACAATTCTGATGCAACAGCAACTTGAGGAAAAATATCAGATATAATTTTCATGGCTTCCTGTAGATGTCTTTGTAGGCATGGTTGAACAACCAGAGACAAAGGCCTAGCATGTACAATTGCACCCCTATGAGCAGCAGGAGTTATTGTCGACATTGCGTCAATAAAGTGATACTTTTCTACCATGACTGAATCAACATCTATTAAGAATTTGTCATCACTCATATAAACCTGTGGATATTTTTCACGAAAAGCACGAATGGCAGCTTCAGTACAAAGAGCCTTAAGATCAGCACCACAATATCCTACACAACTAGCTGCAAGCTCCCTCTTCAGTTCCTTTGAAGGAGGATGCTTCCACTTACGAGTATGAATGTCCAATATTTCAGCACGTGCCTCACAACCAGGCAAGGGAAAGTTGAATTCCCTATCAAATCTTCCGGGCCGACGCAAGGCCCCATCAATAGCATCAATCCTATTGGTTGCTCCTATTAAAACAACTTGTCCACGAGAGTCAAGACCATCCATCAAAGCAAGCAATGTGGACACAATAGAATTGTGAATCTGTTCTTGCTTGCTAGATCTCACAGGAGCAAGTCCATCTATTTCATCAAAGAAAATAATAGAAGGTTGATTCTTTTGTGCTTCCTCAAAGAGTAATTTTAATTGTCTTTCAGCCTCACCAACCCATTTGCTCAGTACATCTGCTCCCTTGCGCATGTAAAAGCTAACCTTCTGACCAGCTTTTGATGCAGCACAAGCTAAAGCTCTAGCAATTAATGTTTTACCTGTGCCAGGGGGCCCACACAACAACACCCCTCTAGGTGGAGTAATATGATAACTTGCAAAGAAATCTGGATACAGTAAAGGAAAGAAAACCATTTCCTTTAGAGCATCAATATATTCAGAGAGCCCACCTATGTCATCAAAACTAACACTATCATCAACCTGTAAGGGTTGAATGTCTGCGCCTCCTTTAGAGCTTGGTCCAGCAGATTGAATCCCAGACGTCAATGTAGCCAAAGCATCACCTTGATGACCCCAACCTGATGCAGCAAGATTCAATCCCCATGCTGTTGTTCCATGCATGTCTAGTCCACCAAAAAGCCAAGGTGGGCCAGACCGGCTGCCACCTCTACCCCATGGAATAGCAGGGCCTTGATCCAGCTCATCCACAAGAATAGAATCATCAGAATCTTCAGGTCTTGCTAAACGATAACGCTTGTGAACTCTTGATCCGCCCTTCCTGACATCCCTGCCAACCTTAGTGCCCATACCTTGATGTAACACCCTTCGGGGTGACCTTGGTTGGGCCTTCCCTTCTTCCATTGAGAACCTGCGAACATCTGCACGATTTCGAAGGTCATAGCGCCTTCTTCCATCCTGCTCTTCTTCACCATCTTCATCATCACCATCTTCATCTCCCTCATCCTCATCCTCATCCTCATCCTCACCTTCATCTTCACCCTCAGCATCTCCTTCAATCTCATTCTGACCATCATCTGCATCATTTTCATCCAAATCATTCCCATTTTCTGTTTCATCCTGTCCAACCTTCTCTTCTGAAAAATCTCGCTCATCATCAGATTCTGAATTCAAGGGTTCTCTTACAACCACCTTTGAACGACGAGGCCGCAGACCTTCACGCCGAGGGTTTGGTTTAGTTTCCACAACTTTTTTGTGCTTGCGAGACCTCACTTCATCCTGACTCACACTTTGGTCAATCTGCTTTCTAGGTTGTTGATATGTTGGCCTCTGGAACAAGCTCACATAAACTCAGCCCCAAGCACATAGAATCTAAACATACCATCCAAACTTTTATAGCTAAAATGTATAAAACTCACCATCAAGTCTTCATCCTCAGCTCCAGAACTGTCAGTGAAACCTTCAAGATTAACAGAAATCCTTCTCTTCCTCGTTGAGCGTCGAAGATTGGTCGCTGCAGACTAAGAATAAAAGAAATAATGACACACCCTTAAAATTTCATAATAATAAGTTACATCATGCGACCAATTTCAGCAAATAGCATATGTCTGTGCAATGGGAAGAAAAATTAGATAAAGGATTGCAAGATTAGGTCAACAAAATAAATCGGTGTAACCACTTTGTACTTAGCTGTCAGCATCCTTTCATAGAATTAATAGTTTACTTAAGAAAATACTCTTTATTGAAGTAGGGTTTGCTTCGGAAATCCCTGGTTGGTTAGAAGAACCAGTTGCTGCAGCAATGGCAGACAGGTTAGAAGATCCAGCTGCTGGAGCCATGGCAGAAGGGCTGTTTATTGGCAACTTCTGGCTGTTTGGCCATCAAAATTCAGGCCCATACCGAATCGTATCATGGTGCTCTGATACCATGAAGAAATTGATGCAAAATTGCTATGTATTATTCATTCTTGATAGGAATAGATACATCAGTATTGAACATCAGTATTGACACAAGAGATCATCCGATAATCATTCTAATGATTAGGCTGAGATTTTAGGAACCAGTAATAATTCAAAGATAAGAAAATACAATCAGAATCTCAATTTAAAATTCAAACAGCAGCAAACTAAGTCTATGACAGAATAACTGAGTAATGAACTAGGATTTTTAGGCCCAAGCCCGTTAGGCTAAGTCACCAACACTCTTCATTGGCGTAATCACTGGCAGTTTAGAAGTTAAAACAGAAAAAAACAAAACAACTAAAACAAAGCACTATATAATCATATGCACTGAAGCAGAAGGTTATTTGTCTTATCGTACGTCAACCAACTTCCATAACTTCTGCAATCTGGTTGCATGTGCATGTTACACAAATAATAAAACACAGGGTTAATATAATCTTTGGTCCCTCAAGTTTGCCCTTATTTTGATTTTAATCCCTCAAGCTTCAAACCATAGGTTTTGATCCCTCAAGGGGCAAAATGGTCCAATTTTTCATTCAATTATAAGGACCAATATTTTGAATGAAAAGAAACTTGAGGGACCAAGACCTATGGCTTAAAACTTAAGGGACCAAAACCAAAATGAAGATAAACTTAAAAGACCTAAGTTTATATTAACCCTAAAATATGAAATCCAAATTTTTCACCATGCTGACTAGGCAATCTTTTGTAGGATATTTGACATGAACTAATTATTAGCATTCAACCTTCAGATTCTACTATGATGAGAACATATTAAAATTGTTTTAAAAAATGGCAGGTTCAAAGTATGCTTTGCACTAATGGAAAAAAAAATATGGAAAAGGAACAATCATACTTCTCTTATGAAGTGCAAAGATACGAAGTGCTGACGAGGGCAGAAAAGTCGTTCTCAAACAATCAAAGGATAAAAAATAGAAGAAAAAAAATATAATAACTCATCAAAGCTCTTCAATCCCTTGTACACCAACAAGAGAAGCCCCCTTGACGCCCATTGGGAAAACCACAAGAAATCAGAAATTCTAAAACCTGTTAAGGGGGGACATTTAATGCAAGACAGGCATCTATACACAGTCACACAGAGAGAATAAACTTCCAAAGAGCCTTAATCTCCAGCTATCAAAATATCTAAACGAAACAGACAAAACTGGGTCCCAAGTTGACAGAAAAATCATTGCAATTTAAAAAAATCCAATAAATTCATATCCAAACCTGGGAACTAAGTCCACAATGTAGCAAACATACCACAATTCAATTTTACAACACACGCCAATTCTCATGGCCAGCCACACAAATCACAAGAAGGCAGGAATCATACATTACATGACTAAAGGACCCTCATGCTAACAAAATTGAATCATATCACCCATAGTGTTTTAACCTCTCCAACCCATCCCACCCCCAAAAAAGAAAAACGAACTGATGCATTGTGAATAAAAAGCTGCATGAATGATGTAAAAGTGCAAAACCGAAAATATTCTAACATTGCAACCTGCAGTCAGGCAATGAGGAACAAGAAAAAGAAACAGGGCTTCCTGATATATAAGGTTTAGCGTTTAAAAGCTAATTAAGGTTCCAAAAAAGATGGCAACCTAAATAAGATACAGGGGTATCAATGCAAAGCTGATGACAGACAAAAGAGAAAACCAGTATTGAACCTTCCTTATCTATAGATGTGTGCATAGCTTACTCTGTATTGCGTCTGTGAATGTAAGTCAAATGTGCATGGGAGAAGGTAAATGCATGAGACAGAAACCCAAATGCTAATGGATAAGAAAATTTAATAATCACTCCATGTATGTAATTCATAAATAGACAACTTCATGCCTGAATGATTAAAACACATCCATGCAAATCAAATCATCCAAAGCATTTACACCCTTTAAACCTATTTAAATTTAAAATTTTTATATACATACATTAGAAGCATTTGAATCTTGTGCTAGACGATCCCTTGGCCGCAACATCTTGGCAATTTGTGAAGCAGCTGTCCTTGTCTTGTTCTTGCTTTTCCTCGTGTGCTTTGAACTGTAATACAAGTACGGTCGACCATAGATGTTTGGCCTTGTCTTGATCCTATCACTAGTGCGCACTGGTCTGGAAACAGGTCCATCACCTTGGTTAGACCGTTTCGGGTACATTGAAGGAAGCTAACTTCTGTTATCATAAATTTCCATGTAGATAGGTCAGATGAATCTGAAGATATTAATATATTCTACATTACTCAATTTACATATGACCGAAAAAAGCCACAAACTTCAAACCATGATTAACAAGAGCCAGTTTCATATTGTATTCTTAATATTCTTTCCTAATGAAAAAAGACCTATTAATCCGCCACAAACAAACATGACATATTCATCTCTTTGAAATTGGAAATTAAAAAGAACAGAGAAGAGAAGAGAGAGAAAGATTAATTAAGGTATTGCAATACTCTGCCAAACCATGACAAGCTCACGGCGACTGCCTAATCAACACAAAATTGAAGGATCAACTGTATTTTGCAACAAAAAAACAGCAAGAGGGCAGAAGCAGAAAGACCAAAAACTACAAACTGAGGACCAACATAGAAGACCATGGCAAACTTGCATTTCAACCTATATGCCCCAAACAATACAAGATGTGCCACATTTATCATTTGAAAAAAATATCTATTTTCTACACAAGAAATAAGGCATCTCAACAGTAAGCAATGAAGTGAAGGAAGCATGCAACAAGGAACTAGAGAACCTAAAATCCATTAAAACACTAAACAGTCGAGATCATTCTATATATAACCCCTAAAGGTCAAAAATACTTAGAGGCCTCACTCGTGCATGTTTCAGGGGTGAAAAGCCATGAACAACATTTGATAAGCTTGTAAAAAAATAATATACATATATAGCAGATCGAATGATGTAGGATACAAGCAAAATCAGAATTAGAAACAAAAAAGGAGGACACACTTGATAGCCCTAAATGCTATAAGGAGTGAACAATCATTAGACTGAACAATGGTTAGGGTTTTACAAAACATGATTGGGAGGATCCAGGGTAGAGAGGTTAGATAAGGTGAAATGTATCAATTCTAGAGGGCAAAACACCTTCTGCATTTGCCTCACTCAACAGATGCCAAGTATTTCTATGTTGGTAATTATGTAGGGACTGTATAAGACAGATCCAGAGAAGAAACAAATGTGCTCGCTCTTGTAAATATGGAGGCCCTGCTTCAGCCAACTGGTCAATCCCAAACAAAGTATCACATTCAACTCATATTCCCTTTACCTGAAAAGTTAACAGTCACTTTATTCTTCTAATTTCAGCAACACACCACATGCCTGACAAGATTCAGAGCATTGTTATGTCTGGTTTATCTATCAAATTCATTATTAAAATGAATTTCCCAAATTCAAACTGATTCTTCCTTCATTTTACATTCATATTTGACCTACCCCTGACCAGAAAAAAATCTCACAAGTGCTCTCTTTACTATGAGTTAACCCTATTGGAACATGAAATGGCAATAAGGACTGCAGAGGAATGCTAGAAAAACAAGCTTCGGTAAGGGTGTCTTTATCGCCCTAGTGAAGAAAAGAGTACCCTTCTCGTCACTAAAGTGATTGTAATTATTCCTAGTCATAGAGATCCCAAAGGAAATACCAATTTAGAGGATGGTTTGTGTTGGAAGTCTCAAGGCCGAAGTCCAATACACTGAGTTTCACTTATCTAATTGTTTATCTCTTCTGTTATTTGAATCAGTATTTAATTTCATTTAGTCTGTTTAGTTTAAATGGTAGATTTACCCTACTTGGCTAAGCATATACACTGGCTGAGCATATATGCATTATTTCTGCTTCTGCCGTGAACAAGAAATAGAGAAATCAACCTCTATTTTCTCAGTTTGTTTGGCGAATAATAACCTTGTGCCACAGTTTGAAACATAGAAAAGTTTCTGATAGGAGCATAAAAAGTGAAGCTTTATGGTAGTTTGACATGCATGTTGATTGGAATGGAATGCAGTTTTATGCAATTAACTGGAATGTCAACTGGAATTGGAGCATAGAGAAAGCTCTGGTAGGAGCATCAAAAGTTAGTTTTTATGGAAGTCTGCAATGTATATTAATTGGAATGGAATGCAGCTGTCTTTTTGGATTTGGACCTTGGAAACTTCTTTTACTCCCATCTTAAATTGATGGACTAAAATTCAAAGCTACACTTGTTTCTACATTTCTCATGTAAATTGTTATGCAAATAATAATAGACATGAGAGTTAATTGGGTCAATTTTAAATTAGTTATGTGCAGTTGTGTCAATAACCATTATCCTAGGTTAGTATATGAATAAAAGACCTGGAACTCAAAATGATTTTCAGCGTTACCGTTATGACAGATGAATACCATCTCTGAATTCTTCTAAACGCTCTGTTTTCCCCTCTTGGTGACCTATGTCTCTCTCTTCTTCCTCTCTTCTTCCCTCTTACCCTTCTCATGTATCAGACTTTGAGTATGAGCACACCCCATGGGCACAGAAATGTAACTCTAAACATCTTAATTTGGTTGAAACATGCAATGTCACTACCACACACCAACTTCCCAAGGTGTCTTCTATTAGCATGAAAACTAAAAATGTAACACCAATCACATAGTCGACTAGTGCCCAATATAGCTACAGTAAACATCAGATATAGAGACATTTTGCGAACAGCATGAACAAATGCCAATCATCCAAGCATTGGGGGAATAATGAGTAGTTCTGTTTCTTCATTAAATAGCTGTAGTATCAAGCAACCCGCTAGAGTAAATAAGTTCAATATATAGATCATATCATCACCAAGCCAAAAAAAAACAAAAACTGCGAGAAACAATTAACGAAAATCGCAGTAGTGAAAATACGCAACACAACAAATAACATACAATACAGAGGAAGTTCTACAGATCAGCAGAAAACTCCTTTACTGTCGCAAAATCAAACCAGACAAAGGCAAGAGACGAAGGAGCAGAAAAAGAGTCTACAGCAAAAACATCGAGGAAAGAGCGAGTTCTACAGTAGCAGGAGAGTTGTCCTGATGAGTAGAAAATGGAATCTTACCTCATCGGCGATAGGATTCGTCTCTTTGGCACCTCCAGTTCTCCCACTAGCGCTCCTCACCAAGGCAGAAGAAACTTCTCGATAGCTTTGGTTAGGGCATAGTCGAGTAGATCGATGAAGGGAAACGGGTTTGAAGGGGAAATTTCACGTATGATTGAGGGTAAATATGTATTTTCGTTTTTCATTTCCGCACTAGAATGATTAATTAATGAGGTTTAAATATTTTTGAATGAAAAGGATAATTCTCATTTCAACAGGATTTACATAATTAAATTAATAGTCGAAGAACTTTTTAAGAAATGCCTAACTACAGTGCAAATACTTATCAAAATATTTTTAATAGTATAATTCTCACTGGAAAAAAGAAGGTGATTCCTTGCTTCCCATAATTTCCAACAAGTTATATAAAATCCAATTTTCCAAGAATCCTCTATGTTTGGATGCTGCAATTGATGAATTAACCAGTAAGCAAGTCTTTCCCAAAGAAATCTATGTACATATCATTTGGGAGAACTTTCTTCCACACTGAGGAAGCTAAAGGACAAGCCTCAAAGACATGATTGAGATCCTCCATGTCTGCACAGCAAAGACTACATCTCTGATCTGATGTTATACCTCTTCTATATCTTTCAGCATTAGTGAGCAATTTCCCTTTAACAAGAAGCGAAGTAAAGGTCTGTACCCTCTTAGCCATTAGAAGCTTTTATATCTGGGTCCACTTTTTGTCAGCATTGTTCCAATTCAGGTTTTCTGAAGCATGATAAATTGATCTGGTGGTGAAATCTCCAGATTTCGTCAAGTGCCAAAAGCAAGAATGGGGTTGAGCATTTTGATCAATCGAAATTGCTATTAAATCTTTGAAGACATGTGGAGGTAAAAGACTATGAAACATGCTCCACTTCCATTGGCCATAGTTATCTACAAAATTAGAAATGGGTCACTAAAGATCATTTTCAGGTATGGGGCTAAAGGATAAATTCTTCAAAGGGCCATAGTCTCCAATCCAAAAGTTGACCAAAACTGAATTTTACTTCCATCACTAGGTTTCTATTTAACATGAAAAAAAGTGTCCTGCCACATGTTGACTAGATTCCTCCAAAAATAAGAAGAGTAAGGATGAGGATTGGTAATCAACATATCATCATTGAGATCATATTTACCCTTTAGAACACGAACCCAGAGAAGATTAGGCTCCAAGATCATTTTATAAATCAACTAAGATAAAAAAGCTTTATTCTGCAATCAAGCCTAAGCAGACCACAACCACCATTCTTTAAAGGCTGGCATAATTCGCTCCATTTGATGAGACTAATTCCACAATAGTCCTCTAAGTAACTCCATATGAATTTTCTGATGATTTTTTCAATTTCATTGCAACAAGAGGAGGAAAGCAAGGTGCTCTACATGGTGTAGAGGGGCACAAAAGTTAAGATTGATTTGGCCAAGGCGATACGACCAACCAGAGAGAAGGATTTACTTTTCCAACCCGTAAGCTTAGATTGTAGTCTTTCAATGATGTGTCTATAAGTTTTTGAAGATACTCTACTAGTGACTAACGGCACACCCAGATACTTGCCAAGGGATTCAGTTTACTGATAGCCTAAGTCATTGCAGATAGTTCGTCTAAGATTAGAAGGGACATTCTTAGAGAAATAGATCTTGTTTTTTTATTGACTAATCTTGAGTCCAAAGGAGCAGCAAAAATCATGTAAAGTTTTATTAATTATCGCCACTTGAGATGTCGTAGCATGCCCAAAGATAAATAGATTATCAGCAAAAAAGAGATGAGAAAGAGGAACATCTCTGCGACCCATTTTGATGGTCTACTAGTCTCCTTTATCAACCTGAGCACTAATCATCTGTGAAAGACACTCCGTACAAAGGATAAAGATATAAGGTGACAAAGGGTCACCTTGCCTAACTCCCCTTATTGGAATAAAGGAATCAGTGGCTTTACCATTCCAAAGTACTTGCATACTTGGAGTGGTGATACAACCCATAATTAAATTGTTCATTTTTGTTGGCAGACTAACATCATACAAAGTGTCTTCAATGAAATCCCATCTTAATCTATCACAGGCTTTTTCAAGGTCTACTTTTATGGCTATCCATCCTTCTTTACCTTGCTTCTTTCTTATGGAATGAACAACTTCTTGAACTATGATGATGTTGTCAATGACACTCCTCCCGTGAATGAAACTGGATTGATAAGGGCTAATGATATTTGGCAAAATTCCACGAAGACTGCTAGCAATAACCTTTGTGATGGCTTTACAAACTACAGAGCACAAGCTTATGGGTCGAAATTCACTGATTGAGCTAGGACTATTGACTTTTGGAATTAAAACAATGAGAGTACGATTCAGGTAGGGAGCCAAAAGGCTACCCAGCCATAGATTACGAGCCAAAGAGAAAAGACTATAACTAACTATACTCCATTGACTTTGAAAGAAAAGGGCATGCAAGCCATCAATTCTAGGGGATTTAAGAGGTTTCATCTCAAAAAGAGCTTGCTTAACTTCTTCAAAGGTGACTAATTGATCTAGAAGATTGAAGTCAGAAGGGGAGATAGGCGGAAAAGCACCTCGAAGAGTAGGCGGAGTAAAGTAGGGATCTTCAAGAGAATATAAATTCACAAAGAACTCACAAGCTATGAGAGAAAGCTGCTCCTCATTGTTAATCCAATCATCTTGTGCATTTTTCAATTGAGTAACACAGTTGTGGCGTCTTTTAATTAAAGCCTTAGTGTGATAGAAAGATGTGTTTTGATCTCCTAAGCAGATCCAATCCACAGAGGATTTTTGGAGTCATAAAAGTTCTTCTTGAAAGCATATGTCATCGTATTCATCTCTAAGAGTTTGATTCAGCTTACATAAAAATTCAGAAAAAGGATTATCTTCAAGTTTGCATTGAACCCCATGAAGATGCGAGAGAATTACTTTCTTCCTTTTTCCTATTGCCCTAAAAACCTCAGTATTCCATTACTTGGCTTTTAAGATGAAAGATTTCAGATTTTCTGAGATATCCTTCTCCGAAGCCCAAGATCGTTACACCATATTTGAAAAATCTGGATGTGTAAGCCAGGAAGCCAGAAACTTGAAAGGCTTTTCAATCAAATTGGGCTTCTTATGAAGGCCCAAATTAATGAGAATAGGTCTATGATCAGATAAGATTTTTGCCAAATGCTCCACACGACTGGCAGTAAATAAATTATACCAAGGTTGATTGTAAATGGCCCTATCAAGACGGACTAAAGGAGTACCACACCTCCAAGTAAATTTAGGACTATTGAATCCCATATCTAGAGGACCATGTTAGTGCATAAAAGCTTTAAACAAATTGCATCCTTGAGATACCCGATTAGCGCCTCCTTACGCTTTGTACTATGAAGAGTGGCATTAAAGTCACCAGCCAGGAGCTATGGAGTATTTAAGTTTGATACCAGATTAGAGAGATCATGCTAGAGTAGTTTTTTAAACTTGGCTTGTGAGCTCCTATATATCGCAGTAAACAAGAAAGAAATTTTCTCTGCTAAATAGTTGACTTGCATATATATGAATTGGAGATGATTACAGAGAACTTGTACCTCCACTTTGTTTGTCCAGAAAATCCAGATTCTGCCTAAAAAACTAGCAGCTTCTACACCGTGTGAATGGTATAAGCCAATCTTCTTTATGACTTTATCTGCCTTAATGCCTGAGATACGTGGCTCTGCTATAACAAAAATTTAAGGCTTATAATTAGCAACCAAAGATTTGAAAATAGAAAGAAACATTTTGTCAAAGGCTCCTTGACAATTCCAAGTAATGGTTGACATAAAAAAAACAATTAGTGCGAAGGGACAGAAGCAAAATCAACTCCCTCAACAAGCATAGCAATTGATTCCTTATTAAAACCATCAGGTTGCTCACCCTGCAATCATGAGGTTTAAATATTTGATCAATTGATTAATACCTGGAAAATTGCAATTAGGAGTGGAAACAGGCCAGGCCATCACCTTAACAGGCTAGGCCTGACTGGAAACAAATAGGCCTGAGCCTGACCTATAGCCTATTAAAGGCTTTCTTTTCGGCCTTAGCCTGGCCTATACAAAAGCCTGGCCTGGGTTAAAGCCTATTGACAGGCCTATATTTTTTTTTAAAAAAACTACAAACAAGCTAATAGGCCTACCTTTAAACAGGCCGATAGTAAGCATTCATAGAAAACAGGCCTAGGCCTTTAAACAGGCTGAAAACAAGCATTTACATCTCTAAAGTACATGCTTTTAACAAGCTGAAAAAGGCTACAATGACATAAATAAACTCAAAATAATAAAATCACAATCCAAAGATACCTAAAATACAATACACAAGCTGATACAATCAAATTAGTCAACAAGAAAATACCAAATACAACAACAAAACAAGTTTGATTACAATTACACCAAACAAAAGTACAACCACTAGCTGCAAATCATCAAATTTTCAACATATTTTTTTCATCTTGTTCGAGAACCAAATCTATTGAAAAAAAAAAAACGAATCATGTATCAACACATAGCATTAAAGGATGAAATTTGTAACAACACAACATTTTTTAAAAAAAGACTGTGTGAGCTCTAATAGCACCAAATCTATCTTCTTCATCATTATGGCCAATCCAGAAAAAGCCAACAACATACTACTTAATCCAAATTTAATCCTACTATTCGATTTAATTTTGTGGTAGCATATCTAAAATTATAAAAACCAATACCACTTTATTTGAATTTAATCTTACTATTTAGTTGACATGATCCTTCTTTGTATATAGCACAAACGACAACAAATAAAGAAGTTCACAATCATAGTCGAAGGTTTATGTATTAATATTGGTATAAACTAATCAGTTTTATGACTAAAGTAACAACAAACAAAGTTTGATATTGATTCTCATACATTGATTTTTAAATCAAATCAATGAAGGTCGCAAGGCTGGTGGCCGAATGCTCAGAGACAAGGGGTGGATGATTAGTTTTATGACTAACAAAGTAACAATGAACCAACGCAGTGCTTTAGAGTTTCATATATTGATGTTTTTGAAGGAACTAGGAAGATTACCTATTAAT